ATATAAAATAAAACGAGTATCTACACTCTGAAATATATCTATATGCATCCGTGTGTAGTTCATATTAAAATCTTTAATAAAAGGTCTCATATACTTAGGAACGGTGGAAGTAGATTAACTCCAGATCGTAATGGTTATTACTCGAGCTTGTCGTGACTTTAGCAGGCTTAAACTCAATCATTCCCGACAGAGTATACATACCTAGATTAATTAGTCTCATCTGTCCTAGTCCAAACAAATAACTCGATTTAACCCAAAGAAGAATTGTCCCTGCTAATAAACAATAAAAAGCTATAAAGAACACTAATCCGTACTTATCCTCACTAACCTGCCACACAAACAAACGAGTACGAGACCACTGAGTCACTGACACTATGAGTAGCAAATTAGTTAAGCATCTCCATCTTGTCGGTACGCTATGTGGACGTGATTTCTTTAGCCTTTTCCCGCCATAATCGGGGCGTCCATGTGAGGTTACGTTTGACCAGCTGCTGAAGATTTGATTAGCTTGCTTGGGTCCTGCTGATCTCGTTGGTTTCCCAAATGGGTTGGATGTATGCGCTCAGCTCTGCTCTCAGATGCCCTCCTCTATCATCAAAACTGCTACGATGATTTTCTCGTACGACCGGTACGATCAGAGAGCAAATCATCTCTAAATGCATTGACCCACAAACTGGACTATCCACGATTGTCTCTAATCATACAATGTTGGACAGGCACTATGTCGTACGTATAGCAAGGTTCCACTATGATACTAACTACACTGACGGGAAATGTTGGACATGATGGAAAAGTTTTATGGCTGTGTGCATCGAGAGATGCAGAGGCCAGAGGCCAGGAGTTATCCTCCTTTTCGGAAAAGAAATGATCAAAAAGTTTTGCACCCTTGTTACAAGGCTAGCTAGCTAATACAGTCTTCTTGTGCAGAATCATTAGCTTGACTGCAGATTTCATTAGCTTGCTTGGGTCCTGGTGATTCGTTGGTTTTCCAAATGGGCTGGCTTCATGCGCTTAGCTCTGCTCTCGGATACACGGTTTGATCACTAGTAGTTCACTGCTGCCCCCCGATGGGAAATGCTAGCCACTCCTAGTCCTATCGTAGGTTTTCCAGTCACAGGTCTGGACATGGTGATAGGTACTCCCTCCGTCCCAATGCCTAGTGTCAAAAACACTCTTAAATTATAGGACGGAGGATGTAGTTAGAAACGCTAGCTATCTAAAAAATCTTGTCTTACACTCAGAAGTATATATGGCGCACGTTTAGATACATTTATTTCAGCGATAGCTAATTCTGAATGGAGAGAGTAGTTCGCGAGCAAAAGCACGGGCTTAGTATGGAAGCTAGTGGATGTATCATCAACTACTGTGCGACCTTTGACGGCTTCAAGCACAGTATAGCTCCTATTGAGCTACGGGTTTCTCCTGCCTAACTAATCTTCTCACATCCAATTTTTTGAAATGGTCATGGGAGGACAGGTTCCCCAACTAAATATATATTTTTCTGTTTAAAATGTTTTTGAGTGGTGAATTGCACATCACCTGAAAACATGATTGTATTTGTCCAGTGGTGCTATCTACAGTTTTTCCCAATAATGTTTACATATAAAAAGGTTATCCTGCGCTTGAAGACAAGAGACTGGATCCTTCTCTTTTCCTTCCAAAAGCAATCTGGGAGCATATTGTCTATGCAAATCAGGTTAATTTTTTTTGGGAACGGAGGCAAAAGATTTGCCTCATCGATTAATAAAGAAGAAGAGAGTTGCCCAGTTAATTAATGAAAAACCGAGCGAAAACTGATACATATAGACCGCATGCTTACGACTCACTAAAGAAAGAAACTCAATGACCTCACAGTCAACCCGACAAATATACATAACACGCAACAACCATGAACCCTGACAGTTCTATGTCGCAAAGAAACCTTTGACAAAACCAAGGTTGAATACACCGGATGCCACTAAATCCATAGAGACGAGCTAGTCGGAGATAGAGGACGAAGAGACCGGGTATCCAACATTAAGCAGCCGCGGACGCCTTATCAATGGCGCCACTCTTCTTACCTATATGCTCCTGAGAGCCTTCTTCACCTTCTTTATTTTTCCTGTAGAAACCTCCTCTTGCTAGGAGGCAAGCAATCGTCTTGTGAGACCCATGACAAGTTGCTTCCAAGGAGGCGAGCAAACTGCCAAGCTTTTTCACGAAGATCGCCTTGTCAATACGTGCCAACATAGCGTCACGGTCAAATATGGACAACCGAATGGGCTTCAGTGCCTCAGAAATAGTCTACCTAAGCTTTACATATGTTTGTTTGCCAGCCAGGCAAATGAATTTGATGAAACCAGAAAACAGAATATGCACTCATCCATATTGCACAATCACTTTACTTTTCATATGATGGAAGCATATAATTGGGGTTGGTAACTCTCATGTACCTTGAACATACTTTATAGATAACATATGGAATATACTTGTAAAACCTACAAAGGTAAATCCGTTGTGATGTGCTAGAACTACATTTCCATCCCGAGTAGTCTACCCGTCTTCTTCATTTCGCTTCATTACATCGCCATATAAGTCTTTTGTGATGTGCACAAAATATGCACATTAGAGGAGGTGCCTGATGGAGGAAATGAAACTTTGTATTTTTGTACAATGCGCCTAAAATATAATCTGTTACAAAACAGATTCACAAGCAAGTTATGATTTAGAGTAATAACTTATGAGTATGATTGAACTAAATGAAGTTTGCTCAGAACAATTATACCTTCGAGGTTGGTCGAGAGGGACCACGGGTGTTGAAGGAGACACTTGAAGCGTTGTAAAAATAGGAGCTTGAAAAGACTGCAGCATTGGAAGGAATTGATCTCTAGAGAGAGAAGCTGAGACTTGCGAGAGAGACAAAGAAGAGGATCATGTTGCAGGACACCAGCCTCTTGAATGATGAAGCCAAGAAGTAAATGATTAAGGTGAAGAAGAGGATCCCTGCAAAAGAAAAGGTAAAGAAGAGGATCCCCGCAAAAAAAGGTAAAGAAGAGGATCAACGAGCGCAACAATTGAGACGTTTGATTAACTCGTGTATTGTCTATCTATGTTTGAATTGTTGCATTTTATTTTGACATGTAATGAATCGTTGAATTGGTGAGAAATTTATGCTATATGTGGATGTGCATGGATTTGCATGGATATGTGTTTTCTCATATGGAAGTGTGGTTGTACGGAAGGATAAATAAGGATCCACCCGGCGTTGCACACATGTTTGATGTAGTAGGGGAAGTGAGATGACCGTAGTTTATGTGTTTGTCTGTTACATGCGAATAAGCAGGTCAGATACCAAAATAAATTTTCGAAGGTTCGATGGGCGAATTAAGTTTAAAAAATTGTCATTTACTCGTTCCTTCTAGGGTTGGAATTCGAGCCGAGCCAGCTTGGCTTGACTCGCTAGCGCTTGTTTCGTTAACGAGGTAGCTCGACTCGACTCGTTACAATAACGAGCTCAAATCCAAAATTGGCTCGGCTCGTTTAACTCACGAACTGGCTCGTTTAGCTTATTGACCTCTTTAAAGATATATGAACATGAAACCTCAAATATAATAAAAAAAATAATTATGTACATATTAAACATATACATCACCAGATAATACTAGAAGGCAGGAAGTGTCTGTCGCACGCACCGCGGGAACGCAGGCCGCTGACCTGAGAGGTGTGGTTGCGGCGTACGCTGTCAAGATTCACAGGAGAAAGAAACCGTGGATATAGGAGGGGAATCAACCGTCTATCTCTGACCTCTCGCTATTTCTAGGGCTGGAAGGAAAGGAATCGTGGTGTGCGATGTGTGAGTCTCCTGGGCGGTTGGGCCTTGTGTTGTTCGCTTGGGACGAAGTGTGGCTGATTTTTTTGTATTGAGCCTAACGAGTTACACGAGTACTCGTGAGATCGGCTCATTTAACTCAGCTAGTAAACGATCTTAAACTAAAGCTTAACATGACTCGTTATTCTTCAAGTTTGAGTCAATTCAAGCCGAGTCACGAGCTACTCATTTAGCTCGAAAGCTTTGAGTTTTTTTTCCAACGCTAGCTCCGTCCTGTAATATAAGATCGGTTTTGAAGCTATGTTAGCTTTAAAAACAATCTTATATTCTGGAACGCAGGGAGTAGTATAAATTACATAGCTTCCTGCGTTCCAACATGCCCTAGTGGGTGAGGCGATCCCACTAGTCGAGTCTAGCTAGATCAACAAACAGATCACCACACTGCACCTTAATGGCTACTAGTACTAGTTGGCTACGCTACGCCCTAAAGAGGTAATAGCATCTCAGGTATCCTAACTTGTACAGAATGCGATGATTCAGTCTCAAACTTGCAAAACTTGACACCACCATGCCCCAACTTGCACCTTATGTGATAATTTAGTTCCAGGCCAATCACAACTCTACAATTGGCAGCCACATGGGTGGACCGGTCAGCGAACACACTTTTGCAGAAACCCCCCTGTCGTTTTCTTTAATCAACCCGCACTCAGCTTCCGAACCAACCGACCAGGATCGACACGAACGGCGGCCCGTGTGCGTGGCCAGCATGGCGCGCGGCACGATGAATGAAGCGGCAGCGCTGGTCGTGCGACGTGCGCGAGCACAACACGCTCTGGGCGCTCTTCCATCAGGACGACCGCGAGCGCGTCCGCGACGGCACGGCCTTCGACGCTTTCCCCGTCTCGTCCTCCGTCGCGGCCGCGGCGCTCCCCACCGAATTCCACCAGCTACCGACGACGAACAGAAGCAATGGCAGACGAACATCACGAGACAAACAAGTGATCACATGAGATAAACCTCGTTCCGTTCCATCCAAACCTACACAAGCATGTAATAAAAGGATTTATGACTATACTATTGCCCTTAATCAGACCTTAATCATACTACTAAGCCTTAATCACTACTGCTGCTGCAAAGAAACAACTCGACCGGAGTGCCGAGCTACTGGTCAGGTGAAACGAGATGCCACGCCTCAGTACAGCCGGAGCAAGCTCCTCGCGAACGACTGCGACCGCAGATGCGGGCCGCCGTTAGCCGGCAGCCCGGTGGCGCCGCACCGGCCGCTGGCGCTCCGCAGCGGGGTCAAGTACAACCGCAGCATACCGTTGTCGGCGTGGTGCCCCGGCGAGTATCGAGCGCTGCGGTTCCGCTCCAGCACGCACTGGTCTTCCTGTCGCCTCTTGACGCTGCTGTGGCCGTCGACGAAGCAGTGCCGCGAGCTGCCCAGGCCGGCGCTGTTGCTGCTGAACGAGCTGCGCGCGCTGGCGTTGCCGTTGCACCTCTGCATCCCGGCGTTGCTGTACCCACGGACGCGCAGCTCCGGCTACGGCGCCGAGAACGCGCGGTCCGCGGCGTCGGACGGGCTGCCCCGGCAGCCCGTGGCCCGGCGGTGTATGAAGCCCCAGAGGCTCCACGCCTTGCCTAGACGCCGTGGCTTCTTGGCGGGGCCCGGGAACGCGGCGTCCAGGGTCACCGGGAAGTCTTCGACGAGAGAGTTGGAGCTGAACCGTTGGTCGAGCAGGTCTTCGGCATGGTGGAAGTGGTAGAACTCTGAGCTGCCGGTCAGCGGGGGCACCGTGGCATTGGTGATGGCGGTCGCTACAGGGGCTGGCTTTGGGTCGGGCACTTCGAACGACCTTGTCAGCACGGAGCCTGACCGCTCCAGGCTCCGGCGCCTCCGGCTCGACGTGTCCATGTAGTAGTCTCGCGTCTGCGCCGAGCCTCCGGGGGTGTTGGCGTCGCCGTCGGGCTCGGGCTGCGAGTCATCTTCCACGGGAATTTGGCCGTCGGAGCGTTCCACCACGCCGGCAGGTGAGCCCTCGAGCGCGGAGAGGATGGGCGGGAGCCGTGACAGCGGCGGAGGCGCTCGGCCAAGGCCAATGCCGGCGCCGGCGCCGAAGAGGTAGCCGTCCTAGGACGCGCGGGGCCCGTCCCAGGATAGACCTACATCGTCGACAGACATGCGGCCAACATCAAGAGAGAATCTTGGGTCCCTGTCGCACGAACGACGGCCTTCGGCGAACTCCGAGCCTGCCTCCCCAGGAAGGCGGCTCCGCCGAAGGAAGGAGGGCTTGGACGGCTTCTCTGACGGCGGCATTGCCGCGGCTGCTGCCTTGCTGCCGGCCGCCTCCTCCTTCTTGAGCTATTGCTTGCGCCTCCACTTGTGCCACTTCTTGCTGAAGACCGAGGCAGCGAGCCGGAAGCTCCCGGCGATCTCCTTGAGGTCCATGGGCGGCGGTTTCTTGGGCTGCGAAGATTCGAGATCTATGTGATCCTTCATGGCCTTGACCTCCCCGGACCCATAAGCTTCGGTTTCCATCTTTCCCGAGGTGTCGACAACCAAAACGCGCTCCACCACCGGAGTTATCTCGTCAGAGCTCTCGGCCATAACGATCTCGTCCTCCAAGAAGATCTCTGGGACGCACGGTCGAGCCGGCGGTGGAATTCGATGGGGAGCGCCGCGGCCGCGGCGGAGGACGAGACGGGGAACGCGCCGAAGGCCGTGCTGTCGCGGTCGTCCTGGTGGAAGAGCGCCCAGAGCGTGCTGCGCCCGCCATGCTGGCCACGCGCATGGGCCGCCGTTCGTGCCGATCCTGGTCGGTTGGTTCGGACGCTGAGTGCAGGTTGATTAAAGAAAAAGGCAGGGGGTTTCTGTAAAAGTGTGTGCGCTGACCGATCCAACCACTTGCCTGCCAATTGTAGAGCTGTGATTGGTCTGGGACTAAATCATCACATGAGATGCAAGTTGAGGTATGGTGGAGTCAAGTTTTACAAATTTGAGACTGAATCATCACATTCTATGCAAGTTAGGGTATCTTGAATGCTATTACCTCCGCCCTAAATGTAAGTGCATCCATTGCTGAGCGGCTTTCCCCATGCTGCCTAAATCGATCTCAACTTTTTGTTCTCCTGCACTGTACTAGTGCCTTTTGTAGCTCTACCTCCACTATAGCTCTGTGGAATGTGCTCTCTCTTTGCAAGGATGTGTGTGTGTGGGGGACGAGACGTTTTTTTCCTTTTACTTTTCTCCTGCACGGTGATCCATATTTTTATAGCACTCACGAGGCCAACAGCTAGCTTTGGGTTCGCACATGTGCTGTGGCAGGATAGACGTTGGATGACAAATAATTTGCCAGTGTGTGCGAATGCGCATGATTGATTAGGCTCCGATTCCGGCGCCGGTCTGCCGTCTACTGTGCGTGATTCTTCGTGCTATCTTTTTAAGATAACGTGAGAATTTGTGCTGCCTATAGTAGATCTGAGCGGGTGCAGTGCAGACACTGCAGACTGCATACAGACAGCCTGGTCGGATGGATGGCGTCGGTTGGTCAAGATTTTGCTCCGGCTCTTTACGGTAGTACCGTGCAGCCCTTTTTACGATACGTCTTGTGTTGGCCCGAACGCACGGCGACACTCTACAAAAGAACAAGCAAACAAAGCACCCTCTATATAATGCCTAGGGTGGATTGCACGAGAGACGGTGCCCAAATTAGCATCAACTCGTCCAGACAAAGTCCTCGCATTGCATTGCAATTTAGGAGCATATGTTGCTGTAGTACGTAGTAGGATCGACGGTCGGGGGAACGGTACTATGCTATCCATGATGTGGATGAATTTGATTCATCATTTTGTCGATGCTTTTGAGCCCAATATATCTTCACTCGTGTCAAATTAAGCCTCGATCGATCAACCTGCACGCACGTAGAGAGCATCATCATCATGATTACCGTGTGTTCTAGCTAGGTTAATCATGCGGATTTCAGATGCATCCATACATGGTACTACTACCAACTGAAAAATAAAATAAAAATTCCAACTGATAGTCAGATACAACTAATTGTTACCTAGTCGCTCTTTTTTGTAGTTTTTTCTTCTTCGGGTAAAAGGTGGTGGTGATTCAAAATCCATAGACAAGTCCCGTGGAAAGAAAGAAGACCTTTTGGTTAGGGTTTCTCATGCCCCCCGCCGGTGCCGTCGCCGGTCTACCTCATCTCTCTGTGGTCTTACGGCAATGGAGGCGAGGTGGATCTCGACCCATACCGGTGGGAGGGCTCTGTTTTTCATGCTCTTTTGAGTTTTCTTAGGTTTTGTGTCCTGCTTAGAGAGGCGAGGCACCGACGGCTCTCTGAAGATGGAATAAGCTTCTCCCCGCCTTGTCTCCGTCTCGTCATTGGCGAGCATGTGGAGATTTGTGTCCGGCGGATCTCGTGGGATTTGGTCAGCGTTTGTCTTCGATGGATCCACATGGATCTTGTCTTCATTTGTCCATGTCCGTGTGTGTATAGGTTGGATCCTTCTGATCTACGCTTCTCTTCATCGACGGGTTGTTGTTCTGGTGCGCTGGTCCTATGGGGCCTTAGCACGACGACTCCAGGCTGTCTACTACAACAAGGTTTGCCTGGCTCCGACGAGGAAGGTGTGAAGATAGCGGCGCGCCTTCGGCTTGCTCCAGTGCTAGTAGTCGCTGCTAGGTGGTCTAATGACCTAGATGTATCTTTTACTTCTGGTGTTCTTTCTACTATCTTCACAGTTGATAAAAGATCGGAAGTTATCCTCACAAAAGAAAAGGTGGTGGTCATTCATCAACAGTGTATTCAGATCCGACTTGTATGATCCTGACTAGTGGACCAACTTTAAAAAAATATAATAGTAACGAGCCAACAATTTGCTAATTCTCGGTCGATGCTATATTCATGGGAATATGGGATCATGCATGGTGATCCGTGCAAATTTTCTTTGTAGTTTTTCTCTTTTATTTCTTACATGTTACATCACTTTTAAGTCTCAGTTGACTGAGATCTAGCCACATCCTTTCAACAAAAGTTGGACTCGAGATGTCCTGCTCTCATTGATAGGCTTGCGTGGTACGTTCATCCGACGTGTATATTAGGAGCTTCAGTTGTTATTAGTCGAGCTTGTGTTGACACCTGATTTTGGCAAGATACAGATTGCAATGAAGATGGTCTCGAGTGAATGAGTTTTCAGCATAAAAATATTCACGTCACCGAGTGGAACCACTTTGATGTTTCGGTTATATTCGTTCAACTTTATCTTACGGACCGAAACTATACTCCGAGTGGCATATTTCAATGTTCCGAATGGTTTTTTGCCAATCACGTCTTCAAGATGACCTCGGATGAAGGAGCACTCTTAAGGAATTGTCTTCATCTCGTCGAGGCAATCGATTTTGATATATAAATCATCTCAATCCGAGTTCATATGCAAAAGTTAGAGGCAATATACTGCAGACTGAACCTCAACGGAAATATGGCGCGAGGTGCCAGACACTTGTCTGATAGGTTGCGCGAGTAATTCGGCCATCAATAAAGCCTTGAATCGAAAAACCTTCAACATGGAAAAGTTTCGTCTTGTCGAGCCGATCGATTTTCATATATAATTCGTCTCAATCCGACATCATATGAGGCCTGGAGAGACAAATCAAGATCGGGCTATGTTTTCAGTCGGAAATCCGAGTGAAAAGTTTACCATCTGAGTGAAAGTTTACGGTCGAGTGAAATTTTATGGTCGAGTGAAAGTTTGCTGACCGGATGAACTTATTATTATCCAAGTGGAAATATAGTCATCCGAGTGAAAATATGATCATCCGAGTGAAATTGTCGTCCAGGTGAAAATATTCCGAGTGAAAAGATTACCATCGGGACGAAAACTTGCCGATTGAATAAGATAGTGCCTTCCGAGTGGAAATATAGTCATCCGAGTGAATAAGATAGTGCCTTCCGAGTGGAAATATAGTCATCCGAGTGGAAATATAGTCATCCGAGTGAAAGATTGTCTTCCGAGCGAAAAAGTCCAATCGGACGATCCGAGTGAAAGTATCTAATATCCGAGTGGATGAGCTCAAGTCCGAGTGAAATTGAACATGTGCTCGAAAGTTTATCAAAATGAACTTGTGCAATCCGAGTGAAAGGGTGGACAGGGATGTTCGGCGGATGGCTTTCAAGTATACAATGAGAGATGATGGTCTTTATCGCCGAACCGTCGATGATGTTCTTCTAAAGTGTTTGGACGAGGACCAGGCAAGAGTTGCTATGGGAGAAGTACATGAAGGTATTTGTGGCACTCACCAGTCGGCTCCCAAGATGAAATGGTTATTGCGACGTGCTGGGTTTTATTAACCGACTATGATTAATCATTGCTTCAGATATTATAAGGGGTGTGAAGCTTGTCAAAAGTTTGGTGATATTCAATTGGCTCCTGCTGCTATGTTACATCCTATTATCAAACCGTGGCCTTTCAGAGGTTGGGGTTTAGATTTCATTGGACAAA